TTTGACTAACAGACGAGATGGTAAGGAGAAGCCAGAAGTGAATTAAGAGAGCTGCTCTGCGTCTCGTTCAGGCCTCAGATTAAAAGAGCAGAGGAGTTGAGGTTATCACGCTTCTGAGACTAAAATAGACCCACTGCAGCCCAGACCGGCCTAGCCCAGACCGAGCTCTGACACGCAGGGAGGATGTGCCACTTAGGGCATGTAAAGATGGAGAGATCAGCCAGCAAAAATCCTAACTCATTTCTGTTCCACAGCAGCACTCATTCCAGACCACTACACCGGACTCAGCACATGTTTTACGCCTCTCATGAGAGCCTGTGTTCCTCCACAGTACTGAAACAAACCAGAGAAATATCAGAAAGAATCTAGACTTTTACATTTGAGGAAGCGAAAGTCACGGCCTTGATGCTACAATGCTGTGGATGGTTGCTATGAGGTTGCTAAGGTGTAACAGTTTTAATACATTGCTAGCAGCTGCTGATGTGTTCGAAGTGGTTGCTAGGGCTTTTTGGGTGGTTGCTATAGTGTTCTGGTTGCTAGGGCATTGCTACATAGACATAGCACATTACTATACAGTTGCTAGGGAGTTCAGGATGGTTGTTAGGGTAGTGATATATGGTTGCTAGGTTATTCCGGTTGGTTACATTGTTAGGTTGCTAGAGCATTGCTATGCTGTTGCTAGGGTGGTACTAGTGGTTGCTATGATGTTCTGGTAACTAGGGCATCACATTGTTTCTTAAGTGTTCTGTGTGGTTTTAGTGCATTACTATGCAGTTGCTAGGGGGTTCAGGGTGGTTGCTAAGACACTGATATGTTGTTGCTAGGGAGGTCCAAATGGGTGCTAGGGTGTTCTAGGGATACTTGCTAGGGCATTGTTATGCAGTTGCTAGGGTGTTCCGGGTGGTTGCTAGGGCATTGCTACATGGTTTCTAAAGCATTTTCAGGTTGTTCCAGGGCATTGATATGCAGTTTCTAGGGAGTTCAGGATGGTTGTTAGGGCATTGCTATATGGTTACTAGGTTATACCTGTTGGTTACATTGTTAGGTGGTTGCTAGAGCATAGCTATGCAGTAGCTAGGGTGGTCCAAGTGGTTGCCATGGTGTTCTGGTAACTAGGACATCACATTGTTCTTTAAGTGTTCTGGATGGTTTTAGGGCATTACTATGCAGTTCCTAAGGAGTTTAAGGTGGTTGCTAAGGTATTGCTATGCGGATGCTAGGACATTCTGGGTGGTTGCTAAGGGATTGCTACATGGTTTCTTATGTTTTATTGGTGTTTCAAGTACATTACTATGCAGTTGCTACGGAGTTCAGGATGGTGGTTAGGATACTGCAATATGGCTGCTAGGTTGGTTACATTGCTAGGTGGTTGCTAGGGTATTGCTATGCAGTTGCTAGGGTGGTCCAAGTGGTTGCTATGGTGTTCTGGTAACTAGGGCATCACATCTGTTTTTTTTGTGTTCTGGGTGGTTTAAGCGCATTACTATGCAGTTGCTAGGGAGTTCAGGATGGTTGCTTGGGCACTGATATATAGTGTCTAGGTTATTCCAGTTGGTTACAATGTTAGGTGGTTGCTAGAGCATAGCTATGCAGTTGCTAGGGTGCTCCAAGTTTTTGCCACAGCCTTCTGGGTGGTTGCTAAGGCATTGCTACATGGTTTCTTAGGTGTTATCAGTGGTTCAAGTGCATTACTATGCAGTTGCTAGGGTGTTCTGGGTGGTTGCTAGGGCATTGCTTCATGGTTTCTTAGGTGTTGTCAGGTGGTTCCAAGCCATTGCTATGCAGTTGCTAGGGTGTTCCAGGTGGTTGCTAAGGCATTGCTACATTGTTTCGTAGGTGTTTTCAGGTGGTTCCAGAGCATTGCGATGCAGTTGCTAGGCTGCTCTGGGTGGTTGCTAGGGGATTGCTAAATGGTTTCTTAGGTGTTTTCAGGTTGTTCCAGGACATTGCTATGCAGTTGCTAAGTATTAAAACCACTAATGACCGTTTCCAAACAAGTTAGATACTATATAAAGTTGTAACATTCAGTTTTTATTCTAGTTATATAATATAAAAGAATAAAACTAACAGTAGATCTTTTTCCAAAGGCCAGAAATCACCAACATCATGCTGTGGCTTACAGGAAAACCCACTAATGGATAGAAGATTAAAGAATGATGTCTGTCCATGTGATTTACTCTCATTAGAGTTGAAAAGATTTTATAGGATAAAGATATTTTTCCTAATTCCAAGTAACAAACATCAGAATGTCACAACAGTGAGAAGACAAGCTTGAAATGCTCGACAGATGGACAGACACGTGAGCGAACACGTTTGTTGTTTGTTCCTCCATTCTTAACTGAATGTGGAAGCCAGATTATGGTGGAATGCGATGTTTACAAGTAGGCTTTCTAAATATCCCATATCTTATCAAAGAAAATAAATCTCTCTGGCCTCTTCCCCTCACACTCATCTGATACATTAGAATTCAGCAGGGCATCCTAGATTTCAGCACACTGAATCGTGATGTGCTGACAACCCCTGAACTTTCACAGACCTTTTCTGTGTTTCTGAAGAAAGAAAATGCATTTATTCCGTTGGTGAAAGACGCTGCAGCGAAATGACTTTTGGATCAGCTGCCTTCTCTTCACAAAGCTTTTGAACTTCAGTAATCGAAGTGTCCAATGTTTTTGTGCGCTGAGGTAAAACATAACCGACAGGGTTGAGTTGCCAAATCATCTACACACACACATGCGGCAGCAACCCAAGGCATGTTTTTATTGATCGTTACCTTGGCTTGAATTAATAATGTCTGTAGTCGCTAAATAACATCAGGGACTCATCAGAGAAAACTGCATGTTAGGTCACACAGTCTGGACACTTCTAAGACATTTCTACTAGGTCTGAGCTTAGTAAACTGTACAGTTTGCTTTTATTTCTTTTCTGCGTATGTTCATGCTTAATAACTTGGAGTTGCATTCCTATATGAAAGGGACAGTTCAAGCGAAAAATGGAAATTCTGCATCATTTACTCACCTTGATGTTGTTCCACAGCGTATGATTTTTCTTTTTCTGTGGAGCACACAAAAGGATATTACAATATGTTCTATTTTGACTAAATAAATGTAAGAGAGGGATTACAAAACAGATAGTATTATGGTTTCTGATAATATTTTGAATTAGATTTTATTTTAATATTTTCTACATGCATTTTTATTAGTTTATTTTAAATGTCTATTTAGTTTTTTTCAGTTTTAAAGGGGTCATATGATGCGATTTCAATTTTTCCTTTCTCTTTGGAGTGTTACAAGCTCTTGGTGCATAAAGAAGATCTGTAAAGTTGCAAAGACTAAAGTCTCAAATCCAAAGAGATATTCTTTATAAAAGTTAAGAGTCAACCACGCCTACCTAAAACGGCTCGTTCTAACACGCCCCCACATGTCTGCGCGTAAAAAGACAGTACAAGTCATTACAATACACCAAATGCACAAAATAATGTTCTTTTTAGCAACATCATATGACCCCTTTAATTTGAGTTATTTTAGTACATCAAGTTAAAGTAAATAAAAATGAGAAGTGTTGCCTTGAAATAAAATACGTTTTTTAGGTTTTATTTCGGTTAACATTTACTTTAATTAACAAAAATGTTTTTCAATAATTTAAATTTAGTTTTAGTTTACTAGAATAACCCTATATTTTAATGTACAGAATAATAATACAATATTTGAATGTATGAAACATGGCGGTTCATTTTAAGATTAATTTAAGATTACAGAACAGTGTAAATTAGTTTTTAGCATTTTGAAATGATGGCAGAGGCAATATAAATTAATAAACAGAGGAAATGAGCATGTACGATATCCTATATCTGCCAATATATAAACACTAGTAACAAGGAAACGGGTATGGAATGAGAGAAAGAAAAACATTTATTGTTGTGCCTTTGGATGTCAGAATTGGAATGCAAATAATTTTTGTAGAAAACTGTCATCAAAGACGCCATTTGAAACCTATATTTAAACCTATATTTTTATTTAAACCTAAAACATTTTACATAACATTTGCCTATTCTATCTCACTATTCTGACTTTTCTTCTCGCAAAAGTTTATATCTACTAGTTCGAACTTTATAACTCAAAAATTGTGAGTTTGTCAAATCTGAGGAAAGAAAGCCAGAAGTGTGGGATATAAACTCATGATTCTTCGAATTGCGAGAAAAAAGTAAGAATTTTGAAATATAAACTCAAAATTACATATTTTATTCTTTTATTCCATGGCTTCCATAGACTGCTACTTTAAAATTGACATTTACTGCCACCAGTTACGCTCTGCCCACAAAAACGTCATCGCTGTTTGCACCGAAATTGGTCTATATACAAACTCAGCTGATACAATACATGGTAGTAAAGAATTGTGCATCCCTACAATTTTACTGTATTTATACTCACCGTTTTGTACTGTCTTCTGTTCATCTCACCTAATTTGAATCTATACTTTCATCACCATTCTCCCTCCCTCCAATAAACCCCTCATCTTTGCTTTTTTCTATTTTTTTCACACATATTTCACTGATAGCAGGCTACTCATCGGCCCTCCTCTCTCTTAGACTGTCAAGTCGGTGTGAGTAGGACGTGAAAGTACTAAATGGCTCCGTAATGGGCTGAATCAGAAGGTTTAATGACAGCCGGTGAGGCTGCTCTCAAAGTTCTGGCCTATTCTCTGTCACCCCACGGGGGTCTGGTTCACAGGCCCTCACTGAGTATAGAGAGGCTGATGTCATTTCCATGCGTCTGTTTGCCAGGCATACTGTAAAAATCCCTCTTCCTCTGGAACAGTGAAAACCCCTCAAAGCAAACGCAGTGAGTCACATTTCCTCTTCTGTGCAAAGCCCTTCCACTTCATTTAGCTTGTTAGGGTTGTAAAGATTCTTAAACAAGATGCATCTTAGCCTGAAATCGGTAAGCAAAACATGGCTGCATAATGCCGAATACATCAACATGATGTTATACCACCAATATCGTTCTCTGTAGTACTGTATTTCGAGATTCCCATTGTTAATTAAAGATTAGCGTTAATACAAATACATATGATCAGTGTCAGCAAATCAGAATGATTTCTGAAGGATCATGTGACACTGAAGACTGGAGTAATGATGCTGAAAATTCAGCTTTGCCATCACAGAAATAAATTACATTTTAAAATATATTCAAATAGAAAATAGTATTTTTTAAATTGTAATAATATTTCACAGTATTATTGTTTTACTGTATCTAGTTACAGACTTGGTGAGCATTTAATATTTCTTTAAAAACATTAAAAAAAAATAATAATTCTTATGAAATTTTGACATGTAGTGTATATAAATAATATATAAATGTATAATAATAATATTATTATATTAATATTAATATATAATAATATATAAATGATATATTAGTGATGTAAATCTATTAGATAATTTTTTAATTATATGTTGAATAAATCAAATGAATGGCATTTCAGTATTCGCTAAAAAGAAAAGAAAAAAAACTTTTTTGTAATGCAATGTAAAATATATATAATTAAAAAATAAATACAATTACTTGGCACTATTTTCTTTCTTTGTCATTGTAATGAGTTCAGTCATGGATTTTAATCCCAGCAAATTAGTCCCTGTTAATCCTTGATAACCTGTAATAGAGGTTATGCACATACACAATGTAAAATTAGAGTGACAGAAGACATGTCAGCATGCAGTACTGGATTAGATACATATTAGAAATGTTTAAACTGTGAACTATGCATGAATGCATTGTCTTTAACAGAGCTGTTATAATGATAAAGCTAATTCTGTTAGCATACTGTGAACCCCACTCAGGAACTGACTAATAAACTCTGTAATGAGGATTAGAGATTCACATACGCAAATCTGATTGAGACAATCGGAATGTCTCTTTATCTTTATCACCCACAAATCTCTTTCTATCTCTCCTTGTCCCGTGATATTTATATTGCAACCCAGGCTCGGTGGGAAAAACATACCTGTGGTGAAATTTATGCAAAATAATATTACCCCAGCACTCCGCATTTAATATGTAATGCTGTACCAGGTGAGCTACTGAGCAAGTTTACTACATCAGAGAAAAAAAAAAACATACATATGGAGCTGGTTATGTGAGGAAAACATGAAAATGTCTTAGTTTACATATGATACTCTATGGTAAAAGCATTTTGAGATCATGAAATTGTGTGAGGAACTGCATGAAAATAAGTCTTTATTCATTAATATACTGTCCCTGAAATCATAATTTAGCCTGGGTTGTAGCCATTTGATCGTGCTATACTGCGTGTGTTTGTAGGCCTCAGTCAATATGCAAATAAAGAAAGAAAAGAAAATCCTTCTTGGTACAGAAATACTATATTAAAATCATAGTCTCTTGTCTGCCAGAACTTGGTTAGGCCCCAACAGAGTGGAACGTTAGCAAAGCTAATGCTGTTTTGATCATAGTTATGATCACTGTGTTACACAATCTCCTCCTTTCCACCACTGTTTCTTTTTTCACTAATGTTTAGTTGATGAATAGCACCCAGGCGGCTGTCATGGTCTCTCATCCATCCAGAACTGTGAAACATTAGCAATGCTAATAGGCTAACGTGTATCTTCCTGTTTCTTTTTCCCCCTTTTCATGTCTTTTCTGGGTCCTAAAGGAGCTATTAAACCCTTAGATGTTGTTAGCTTCAATCTGTGTATGTGTGTTTGTTGAGAGAAAGTGAGTCTATTTGAATTTTGTGTCAGTGTATGAGCTTAGCACTGTGCTTGTCTAACTATGTGCAACATAGGTTTGTGACTATAGAGTGCATACTTTACACACAAGTATGTAAATGTTTGGCTGATGTACTGCAAGTGCATGTTCTTGTAGTAGCCTATACATACTCAGCCTCAATTTTCAAACGGTGATAGAGTTAGATTCATATGTCTGTGCCATTAAGCTTAATGCTATTCAGGTAGCTACTGTAACTATAAACAAGTCAACATTATCTAACTTTAACTAGTTATCTCAGCAAGATTTTGCTCCACCATGACAGTAGCTGACCTTAGAAGAATGTTTATACTAATTGCCATTATAGCATCCCTTGTGGCAATGCTAATAATGCAATGCATACTTGCAATATATTATGACACATTTTAACGCAAAGTTGAAAATGATCACTGACCTTGCCGCAGTGCAGTTAATTGTCTTTAAAGTTGATTAATTTTGTACTCTGGATATGAAATGTCTAGCTTTAACTAGTTTTCTCAGCAAGATATTCTTCAAATTTTGCTCTGCCATGACAGTATCTGAACATATTCTCACTATAATGCCCCTTGTGGCAATGCTAATAATGCAATGCATGCTTGCACCATATTATGTCACAAGACAAAGTTGACATTTCCATGTGCATCTTTCATCTTAAATGAAAATGATCACTGCCTCATAGACAAGGTTTCTCTATCACAGTAAAACTGCACCTATTACAAAACATTAAAATGACTAGTTAACTTGTCATTACTGTCCATTGTTACTTGCATTTGATGTTTAGAAAGTGTTAATTTTGTACTCAAGATTTGCATCTGTGTGAGTGTGATTCTTTATATATGTTACTACACGTACAGTCTGTGATGATATGTGTGTTTTAGCGGTGGGTGAGTGTACTAAGCATGCGTGCATGTGAGATAGTGCTGGAATGGTGATGGGTCAGGGTGCTGTGAAACATCAGGCCTCACAGCCGTGGGCTAATTTTAGCCTGGCGCACTGTACACCGGATACAGAAGGAGGTCGAGAAGACGAATAGAGAGGAAAACAAGAGAAAGTATGAAGTTTGAGCAGCGTTTCCTGCAGAATTGCAGTTCATTAGGTTTGCATAGGAATGAATGAGAGATTGCTGCGGTCAGCGAGATTTTCAGTAAAATGTGCAACCCAGGCTCTTTGGGGAAATGGGATATTATGGTGCTTCTTGCACATTTTGCGACACGTTCGTAGTTCAGTTATCACGTACAGTTTTATCCCAAACAAATGAACAATCTTACCATGTTGTATTACTTTGGTCATTGTACATATCGTGGCGGTTTGGAAATTGAATGTCTGGTTTGTAGTGTGAAAAAGTTAATGCCATATTACATTTGAAAGTAACATACTGTAGAACCTACACTAAACTTAAAGGATTAGTTCACCCAAAAATGAAAATTAGGCTGTGTTTTACTCACCCCCGAGGCATCCTAGGTGTATATGACTTTCTTCTTTCAGACGAATCCAGTCGGAGGTATATTAAAAATTGTCTTTGATATTTCAAGCTCTATCATTGCAGTCAGCGGGTGTTGCATTGCTTCAGTCCAAAAGAAGTTAAATAAAAATCGCCCATCCATAAAAAAAAACGTCTGAAAGAAGAAAGTCATATACACCTAGGATGCCTCGGGGGTGAGTAAAACGCAGCCTAATTTTGTATTTTTGGGTGAACTAACCCTTTAACCGATAATGTTAACAAAAGCAAATGTGAGATAAAAATGCATATAGAGCTGGTTATGGGTTGTGCAACATGTCATGCAAATGTTTACAAATTATGCACTGTGGTAAAATTGCTTTGAGATCATAACATAGTATTGTAAGGAACCACATGAAGATAAGTCTTTATTGATTGATAATCATCCCCATAATCATAATTTGCATGAAAAGGAATATAAGTTGTTGAGCTTTTACTCCCGCTAGTGTTAATTTCAGCTAGAAACTTCAGTGAATTGTATGTATAGGATCATTTTTGGAGATAGCTGAAATTTAGGTTGAAGCACATTTTCCAATGATTCCTAGGGTGAAAATGCATTCATAAACTGATTGGATTTTTTTATTATCTTGACTTGAATAAACTGTGACCTTGCAAAGCCATTTTATATGCTTTTCCTTTATACAAACTGTTAAATTACACAGTAACATGATTAAACACTGCACAAACGGCAGTTCAAAACCCAGGAAAACACTTATCACAGTTACTGAATCAGAAAAAAAGCATAATCTGAAAGCAATTACAAATGAAATCATCAGTATAAGTGAACACAAATGTTCCTAATGCTTCTACAACACATTCACTATGTACTGTAAATTAAATGACATTACATTATTAACATTAATTTACCATGGAGCAAATGTAGATGTTCCTGCTGCTGTTCTAGTTTAATCCACAGCATGAGCCTCTCAAAACTATGTTGTGTTAGCTACTATTATAAGTGACAGCAACAGTGTTTTACCATATTTTGGATAATTTCTTTAAGTATGAGTGCATCTGTCCTTAGTTCCCTATGGAAAAATTGACACTTTTTTTTGTACTAATGATGGTTACTGTACATAAGTAAGCAAACAAAAAAGGAAGAAAATAAAAGATAAATAATGTATATGTGTATATACAGGCATCAGTTTGTATTCCTCTGAGAGACCTTGGCCTTGGGATGCACTGCTCTCATAAGTCTGATCATACTTCCCATGAGGCACTGGGGCACAATGGAACACAACTTACAAACCCACTGGGGTTTATACATCCAGGAGAGACAACACCATCGCGGAGGGATGCAACTGATACACAATCAAATCACCAACTAGAGGAATCTGCCTCCAAACATTACTGAGAGGAGAACAGAAAGATAAACAAACTAGTTTGAGAAGGAGACCGAGTTGGAAAATAACTGATAGTAAGTGAGAGTAGAGTGCATGAGGCTTGCTCTGGCATTCACCGAACTCTCCGCTTGACCCATGTTTCTATTGCCTACTTATTAGCATTGTAAACTATTTTCCTTTTTTATGTCTATTACTCCTACTCAGTTTAGCTTGTTCATCTGCTGCTCTGCAGTTTCTCACCAAGCTTCTTTTTTTTTTTTTTTGAAAGAAACATTGATCACATTTTACATTTACAGTTATATGAGTAAATGCTAAGAAATAGCTAGAAAAACAAGAATAAGGAAACTAAATAAGGCATTTTCAAACTGGGGTTTCAACCCCTGGTCTAAACAACTCATGATAAGTCTGTATTCTTTCTTTTACTTTTTGTAAGGCAAGAATCACTATTACTGTTGCTCATACTTAGGTTTAGGGATTTGAACATCCTCAAATGAATACCTCAAATCATGCAGCGTGCCGAGGAGACAAAACTAATACCTTGTAGACGTATGATTTTACCCTAGTGGACAATAATGTAGAATGCCTTGGGCTGGCTCATCTGTTCGATCCGTGTCCGTGGCAGTGCCTGGTAGGGGTTATCTGATGCTGGTGGTCTGATCTTTTAAGTGCTGTGTGCCCTTCCACCAGTAACCTTGAGCATCAATTGAGTGTTGTTGTTTGGCATTCCCATAGTGCTTCACCTCAACACATTGCCGTTGTATGTTAGAGTTCAAAGACCTGAAGGAAAACATGTAATTATTTGTATGTAAACTCCAGAATAATGTCCTCAAGCTATTACTTGATTATTCTGTATGGTGAAATTGCTAATACAATTTAGCTAACTCTTTTATCCAATGTGACTTACAGGAAAACAATTGCGGAAATGGTCCCATTGCAGCAACCTTGGGTTAATTGCTTTGTTCAAGGGTAGAATGGGGTTTGGGATCTCAGTAACTCTCCAATGGTGAATCACCTTCAACCACTGGAACTTGGACTTTTTGCCTAGAAATACAAAATTTTAGCTGTTAAGTCATGAGAAATACACAATTTTAACTGTTAAGTCATGAAGAACACAAGTATGTGAACGCAGACACTTCTATCTCCCAAGCTGGAATTTGCTTTCCAAAATGTGTCAGAAAATTCTTAAGCAAACAAGTATGGATTGCATTGCCACTGCTACAGACATTGCCACTGGAACTTGGACTTTTTGCCTAGAAATACAAAATTTTAGCTGTTAAGTCATGAGAAATACACAATTTTAACTAAGTCATGAAGAACACAAGTATGTGAACGCAGACACTTCTATCTCCCAAGCTGGAATTTGCTTTCCAAAATGTGTCAGAAAATTCTTAAGCAAACAAGTATGGATTGCATTGCCACTGCTACAGACATTAGCATAAACAACTTACTTGTACAGCCAATTTTCTATGTCAGGTAAGATAATGACATGACGGAGCAATAGTTTGATAATCTTGCAGAGAAAGTTAAAGTTAGCTACGGTACATTGTCAACATGTTTATAACTAGCTACCTGAATAACAACACTTTTGCTTCTCTATCTTGCAACTCTATCCCAACCCTTGAGTATTGAGTCTTTTTACCGCTAGAGTAATGCAAGAGTTGTTTAACAAGACACTTGCAATGCATTGGCTAAACATTAGTGTCTGTTTTGCATACTAGTGTAAGGCATGTTTAGTTAGCCATAATCCTAGCCAAAGAAACCTTGTGTCTGGGTCTGTTTGTGGATATTGACTTCAGATTGGATTGATTCATTGGCATTGAGGGTCATGTCAGCACTTTCTGATATTGTGTGTCAGTCCCATGAGGTGTATTTGCAAGCCTAGGAAAACCAATATAGATAAAATGCTAGTCATGTGTATGTAAGATACAGCCATTTCCTCAGGCCAATTTGAAGGTTAATGCGTTTTGACAATATTCTTGACCTCACAACTCAGTGACTGTTACAGCTTTAAATCAGAAGGTGCCGCAGGATTTGTTCAGAAGCCATATTCTGTGTCATTTTTTCACAAAAACTTAAAGTTGAAGTGTGTTATTTCGGTGTCAAAATTGAATCATAAAAATAAGGTTTTTAAACCGGTTAACAAAAAAATTCCACCTGCCATTGGTAAATAAAGAGATAGCCACACCCCAAACTCATTCCATTGGCTGAGACACTGTTGCTATGCTGAGCTGGACAGAACTGCTTAAACAAAGCAACGTTTTGAAAGCAACACAAAGCTAGAACATTTACACTTTTAGAGTAATCAACCCACAAATGGGATGGGGAAAAAATACTACACACTTCACTTTGGAGCTACATTCACAACACATTGAGTAAAACAACAAGGGCTGCAGCCAAAAACATAGGCAGCTGACTTGCTGCCTAATCAGCTGCCTAATGACTTTGTAGGCAGCGTTTTTACATGAAAGCACCTCATGAAACTAATTTCGGACAGGCTTCTGCGGCAGTGTAACAGTTAAATGATCTACAACAAAATAGAACGAGTTTTGGTGATAACTAAATGAATATTTAATTACCATAATACTAATTTCTCGCTAGAAATAACATCAAAAGTGCAAAAATGTAGTCAGAAATATACATTTACACACAAACTGACCACCAAACGCAACTTTCAGACGCCATATTTATTTTTTAAGCTCAATCATCATGGAACAGAACGCATAGAATTGTGGGATATCAAAGGCAGCGAAGGATACTATATCTATGCTGCCTTCAAAAATCAATCAGATGAAGGTATGTCATGAGACAGGAAGTGAATCTAACTTTGGATTCGGACGCACCTTGATGCCTTCCTACTGTACCTTGGAATGCGTCCTCCGAAGGCAGCATTTTTTAGTTTTTGGATGCAGCCAAGAAATGATGTAGAGCACAATTTTTCCCATCCACATGACCTTGCTTACTAGATAAGAAATGGAGATGGAGAAAGTTAAACTATTTACAAATAAGGGACATTTAAGAAACTAAATCCGGCCATTTTTTATACATAGATTTAAAACATCTGTTCTCTTCATAGCAAAATGCATCTGTGATGAAAGAAATTCAACAGCCTCTGTATTTCATAAAGTAATACTTTTGTATCACATTACAAGCGTCAAACTCTGAGAGAAATTTGCAGAGACAGTTTCGGCAGTCTGTTCTGTTAACTCACAATGACGCCTCGGCTTCTTTGCAGTAACTCAAAAATAGTGTGAGACTACAAAAGGTCACCACATCTCACTGTGGGTTTTTTGGAGCATAAAATGAACTTAACCCATCACTGCAGCGTTCAGGCCCATACCATAAGTGGCCATTAAAACACCACCAAACAAACACACCTTAGTAATTCCAGCCATATGTGGAGTGCTAGAGCAATCCCATCGACTTAAAAATAGATAACAATTACCTTCAGCTTCAAATCCTGCCTTAATTTGGCAGGGGAAATATCCACCGCAATTCAGGGTTTATCATGCAAAACCAGTGACCACTGGAGCTGGGAAAAACATTAGTAGAGATCTTTTTTTGGGGGGGAGGGGTAAAGTATTCAGTTTCTCCGGCCAGGGCTGTATAATGAAATAACTGTCCCGGATAGAAAATAAACTGAGTGATGTGTGGAGTTAATGGGCTTTTCATGCAAATGAGGGATGGCTGAATTAGCGAGGGGGCCCATGGAGGCGTTCAGGAGAGAACATCGGCTTTGTTCAGAGCCAGTGCCGTTGAAACCTTTTATCCCGTGCCGTTCGCTAACGATGGACGAGCACGCTGTGCTATAACATGAACTTGTCTGATTAACCAACGGGATCTGTCTCTTTATTCATGTTGGATGAAACTGACCAATTCAAATTATCAAGCTGTAGGAGTTGATGTTAAAAGTGTTTGGAGTTTCATCCATAATAGTAATGTCAAAATATGTCATAGCAATGATGTAAAAAGTCAATATGAAAGGGAAATCAACATGGCTCTCTAACTACATTTTTGCAAAAATGTACCTATACATACAATTTACTGTACTTTCCAGCTAAAATTAAAACTAGTGGCCGTAAAACACCAACAACTTTTCAAACAAATTATGATTTGGGGGTAGATTATCGATTAATAAAGACTTATTTTCATGCAGTTCCTTGCACAATTCTATGTTATGTTTATCTCAAAACACTTTTACCATAGTGCATGATTTGCAAACGAATATATTTTGATGTTTGCATCACATAACCAGCTCTTTATGTATAGCTTTTCTGGTGTAGTAAAAATGCTCTGTAGCTCACCTGGTATAGCTGATCATTACACATGCAATGCAAAGCACTCAGGTCCGTAAAACAAGTTCTGATAAAGACTTCTAGAAACAAGCTAAAATGACATGGTTGCTTAAGCAAATACATTTTTTGATCTCATGTTTGCTTTTATTAACACTGTAAGTTAGGTTTAGGGTAGTTGGTATGTTATTTTCAAATAGAATAGAGCATAAACATTTAAAGGGGTCATGTGATGTGATTTCAAGTTTTCCTTTCTCTTTGGAGTGTTACAAGCTGTTTGTGAATAGATAAGATCCCTAAAGTTGCAAAGACTAAAGTCTCAAACCCAAAGAG